TGGCAGTTCCTCAAAACATTAAAACTCAGCTGCCATATGATCTAGTACTTTCTCCCAAGAGAACTGAAAACTGTACTAAAAAAAAAAGTGTACATGTTCATAATAGCATTATTCTCAAAAAAGTGGAAAACCAAATGTCCGTCCACCAATGAATAGACAAATATGGATTATCCATGTGGTATATCCATACAATGGAGTATGATTCAGCAATAAAGAATGACGTACTGGCACACACTGCATCTCATGAACCTTGAAAAGCAATAGGCCAAACCAACACTCGGCTTCCCCCAAGTGGGACACAGGCCCCGCCACCATCCTGGAGCAACACCCCACCAAGGCCTATATGTTTGGCATAGGTACAGTCACCAAAAGACCACATATTTTATGGTTCATACCTGCATAGGCAAATCCACAGACAGAAAGTAGACTACTGGTTGCCAAGTGCTGAGAGGGGAGTGGGGAATGACTGTCAGTGGGTACATGGTTTCTTTCAGGGGTGATGCAAATGTTCTGAAATTAGATTTTGGTAATGGATGCACAACCCTGTAAATATACTAAAATGCTAACCACTTAAATGGATGAATCATGTATGTAAATCATATCTCAAAAAAATTGGTTAAATAAATTAGTGAAACTATAGGGCTTTTTTCTGCTAAGCATGTTTAAATGCAACCTTGACTTCCTCTTCCAGAGGGTACCTTTCTTGCTTCCTTGTTCTCTTTCTTGTAGGAAGGGGAGAACTACTTCCTCAGACATCCTAATTTCACGTTGATAAAACATGGTAAAAATATCAAACATCCAGTGCTTTGGAAAATGTAATATATTATACCATAGGTCACACTGTGACTGTAAAGATGACACAAATGTTCAATTGTGTTCTAACTTATGTCAAGTGTCAGCAAATAATTCTAATATGCTCAGAATTTAAGTAACTTAATGTTTATAACAGGAACATATGTAGATAAGGAAAGAGTAAATTCAAAATATGCAGCTTTATATAAACACTAGTGTCCCGGTGCACGAACTTGTGCACATTGACAGGAAATTAATTAGAAGAAATATTTTAATATCGCTATTCATGTCGCTAATGAAAAAAGAAAGGATTCTACCAAGTCTCCTATCTACCTACTCCAGGACTTCTGTGAGGATCAAATGAGATGAGGCATAGGAAAATGCTACACAAACATTTGGTTAAACTGTAAAATGTTTGTACCTGGCTATAAAGCAAGTCATGTTCCTGGGCTGAAGAAACTCCAAGGTTGCCAGTCACTAGGGAGAGGAAGCCGGGCATTGCTCTGTGACGTCATTACCCGGCCACAGCCACCGTTTCTAGGCTGGGCTGTGGGCTGCATTTTGCGCCATGGGGTCTTGGCAGCGTTGGCTGTGATTTGGTGGGGTGTCGCTCCAGGGTGGTGGTGGGGCCTGTGTCCCACTTGGGGAAAGCCAAGTGTTGGTTTGTCGGTGCCAGGTCCGTGGTGCCATTTATTTTTAAATGGCCAGTGCACATCATGGCAGCTTCTGCGTTGAGCATCTGCCCCCTGTTGGTCATTGCGCATCATAGCTACCAGTCAGACAGATGGATACTTATCCTTTTATATATATAGATTTTACAAACAAATGTTAAACACTTAAAGGCATACAATATAATTTAATTTAATGATGCAATTTAAGTACTGCTTTGGCAATATCTATAGTATACAGTATGAGTTTCTTCATTATATACACCTCATTTTTTTTTTTTTTAGATGCAGGCACACAGGGGGTTTATTTACCAGTTCCTGATGGGTCTCTATATACACCTCATTTTAAATCTCCCCTTCTTGACTTTCCCCACTAGAAAATAAAACCAATGTGACTCCCAGTACAATTCATTTTATTATTCTAGTGCAAGAAAACATTTCTAGGTTTATTTCCAATTTCAGTTTCAAAACAAACTGACCTGAAACATATTGTTTTTAATACTGGTGATGACCAATAAATATGTAAGAATATAAAAAAGATTCAACTCGTTGGTAGTACTCCAAATTCAATGGACAAGAATCTTTTCTATCTAAAGCATATTTTAAAACTGCCAAGCGATCTAAAAATCTGTTCATTTAAAACATGTTAAAATACTATATTTCAGTTGACCACAAATAGAATGCAAAAGGTATTACATTTTTCTTCAAATATCATTTATTTCATTCTGTTCAATTTTGTGCTCCCTACAACTCCAAAGGTCAATCAAAATCCAAATGTAGGCAAATGAAACAGGCAATTGAAATTAAATAAAACTTAAGAACAAAAGTATACTTAAATTATGAGGTAAGTTTTACTTTCATGTGTTCAAATATCACAGTTGTAAGAAATGCCCCTCTTTATAAAGCATATTTAAGATGTCTATTTTTACAGAGCCCTTATTTCTAGAGCTCCAAATCAAGTTAAATAAAATTCCATGCTTCCTAGGATATTAAATACCATGCAGCATAGTATTTTCTGTAAAAAAAAGTTTACTTATTCCCATATATTGCTTTCTGCCCAATTAAAAATAAGCTCATGAAAACCATTTGAAATTATGCATGTAACTTGAAATAAGTCACTAAGATTCCAACATAAATGCAAAGACCTGTGACTAGCTTAACCCATCTATCCCCAAAACAATGTATGGGGCAACATGTTCAAAGAAAAAGGCATCCAGAGTATATAACTGAGCCCCAAGAAGCCCCACTGCTCAGAGCTAAAGCAAAGCAGTCACGTGACTAAATTCACACACTGCTTTCTGAGGATGACTGTTGCCTGTCAGATCTTTCTACACAGGTCAGAGTTCAGAAACCAAGTCAAAGTGGACCATCAAACTGAAATACTCCATATTTCCCAGTGGTCAGCCAGTTGGGCTCAGAGGCCGTGAGCTGTTCACCTTGCCCAGGCTGCAGACCAACCTGAATCTCCGCTTTTAACGTGCGGATGCTGCAGAGCGGGGCGGGATGGAAGCCGTTCAAAGCCTGGTGGAACGGAACAGTAAACTGCCATTTTCTGTCACCCGTCAACTTCCTGTAATTCAAATCACCCTTGAATAAAATTAAATGTGCCTTTTGTAGTTCAGCATATAAGTCAGGAGCAACCTGAGACATTGCACAGAATTCATGAGGCAGTGTCCAAAATATATGATCATGGTAAACCCACCTGCCCATCTTAACATAGTTTTCCCAGTTGGCCCCACACTCGGATACCCACTTATGATCAGAATATTTCACTTGTTCAATCAGCCAATTAAAATCATGTATAGTAGTATCAGAAACAAACCATGGAATCATTTTTCCATAAAAATGGATCTCAGTAGCTAATTTAGAAGATAACAAGAAGTCGGCTAATATTAAATCTGTAACAAGTTCGAACCCAGAATTATCCAGAACAATATCCACTCTAGTAATAGATGCTTTTTCTCTTGTTTTCTTGCGATTGCTAAGCAATGACCAAAGATGTTCCATGTCATTCACTAAAATGAAAGGCTTTAGGTCTTCCAAAGAATTTATTACATTGGTCTTCTGAGAACTGGATTCCCCACCTGATAGAGACAGATCACACTTATTTCCCCACAGTGAAATCTGAAAAAGAAAAAGTACAAAACATTTACCCTTCTTCTGAATAACCAACAAAAACTAACACGCAGGATGTCGGGGAAAGGGTTGCTGAAAGTATTCATAAAATTCATTTCTACAAAACGTCCATCAAATCCACTTTGTCTAATAATGCAAAGACTGTGTTTGCATGATGTTGTATAGAAAGGTAAAACAGCCCTGGCCCTTGTGGCTAAATTGGTTGAGCATCATCCCAGGCACCAAAAGGTCTCAGGTTTGATTCCCGGTCAGGGCACATGCCTGGGTTGCAGGATTGATTCCGGTAGGGGGTGTGCATGAGGCAGGTGATCAATGGTTCTTTCTCTCTCACATTGATGTTTCTCTCTCTCTCCCTTTCCCTTCCTCTCTCTATAAAATCATAAACAAAACACATTATTTTTT